TTAGAATCGCCATCTCCTGGAGGCTATTGCTTCTGAATCGAGCAGGGAACTTACTCCACAGGGAGTAAACATTTGGAGCATTTGGTCAAACCGATCAATTGTCGATTTCTTTTCAAGATGTCATCTGCAACTGTTTCTTTGACATGTAAACGATGACAATATTCCAAAGAATATATTCCTGTTCATGCATAGATAAGAAAGACAATTCTAAAATGCAGTTCGAAATATTCCTGCACTGTTGTCTGATTTTATTATCGATTATGAAACACTAAAAGTCAATAAAAGTTTTGTAGCTGCTTAGAAATACTACATAAATAGCTAGTACATGTTTCATACGTAACCGCTGCAGTAGAAAAGAACAAAAGGAATTCAAGTCTATGAGCCCATAATGTAACTGTTGAATGTTGTTAAAACAATGTGTAGAATTAAAATGTACCTGACGAAGTAAACACATTGTATGTTGTTAATATTAAGGTCTTAAATTCTTAAAATATCAACACATGCTATAGTTTTTAAATTGTTTAGTTTGTTGATAATTAACCGTCAGTATTCAGTTTATATAAAAATTTTCCTTAGTGAAAGTTCAAAGCTGTAAGTTTTTTTTTTTTTATTATTATTAGCAAAGCTTCGAAAATCACAAAATTTCTTTATACCTACACATTCATCCATTATTTAGCTTAACTTAGTATGCATTTCTTAATCTGAGCCAGAATTTACTAATCTGAAACTCTCAAACATTTGTTGTTGAGGAAATTTCTCATTTTTCTTTTCATAAGTACAGTAAGACCCCGCTTAACGCGGGGGATACGTTCCATCAAAGTAGAGCGTAATGCGAAACAGCGCTAAACGAGGCTATCTTTACATGTAAATATTGGGGTTAGGGGAAGATGGCTAGGAAATTGGTTAGGTATTAAATTTAAAAAGTATGTTTTTTAATAAAAATAAAACCAAACATTTATTTCTTAAAGCCCAAATTAATACCACATTATTATTTCTTGCAAAATATAAATAACAAAACGAATATTCTTAGAAAAAACAAATAAAATTTTAAATCAGTCATATTTAGTTAGCCTTCCGCGTTTTCAGTGATCTGCCTTTTTGTGACAAAAGCATCTAATGTTGTTTGCCTTTTTCTTTTGCGTTGTTCTCTTAAAAGTTCTTCATAAACGGATAGAGCATCTCTAACACCACGCCTTACTTTTGAGCTCCTGTCAAAATTCGGATCATTTTCAATAAATTGATCCATTATTTCAGTTATGGTAGACAAACTCCTTTTTACAAACGCCATCGAAATCGAAAGTTCTTTTTGCTCTTCTTCTGAATCACTGCTGTCAACATTTTTGTTTTCTTCTTGTTCAGTTAATTCCTTGAGCTCATCATTAGAAAGACTAGCCGCTGCTTCTTGAATTATTTCTTCGACATCTTCCACATTTACCCCCTTCAAAATATGTCTGTACAATACCGCACCAAACAAGAAATACAAGTACACTCTTTCGGATATGTATTTGAAACCTATCGCTGCATAATATTTCGGGGAATCCCCGTATGCTGCGAGCGATTTCGTGGAATCCACGGGTTGAAATAAAAGAGCGCTAAACCGAAACAGCGCTAAACGAAACAGCGTTAAGCGGGGTCTTACTGTATTATATTAGGAAGGAAGTCAATTTCCAAGTTCGATTCCCTTCCTCCATGTTGAGATAGGAATGTCGAAAAGTTTCATCTACAAGTTACAGGATGAAAGGAAATACATTCATTGTCCTAAATGGAAACGCACATTTTTAAGTAAGAAGTTTAAAGCGTATTACTGGTACGATGAACTGCTCGACTATTAGCATGAGTTGTATTTATACATCAAAAGGATTCTTAATAATGGACCCTTAAAATTGAATAATCTGCTGATAGCTATTCAGAAGCCAAGGATGTAACCTCGATACTCCCGAAAGTTTAGTTGAATGTGTGTTATCCTTCGCTTCTCTCTTCTCAGGTACAACTTCGGTTGCCGCCTGCGGTGCACAGTGGGCAAAGCTCTGGGTAATGAGGTGAATAAATAACTGGGTTTCGGTTAATCCTGATGAATACTTAAATGGCATTTCCATTTAATATCCAGCCATTTCAAAAAAAAGTATGGAATACAATTTATAGATACTTTCTGTATGAATTTAGATTGCATCTGCACATTCAAGATGACGTCTACTCTGTCGCTTTCTTAGGGAATTGAGACGGTGGAAATTTCTTTTTTGAACATATACTGCATATATCTAAGTACTGCATGAATCAGGGACTTAAATTTCATTATTGGATTAAATTAATATTCATTTACATTACACATAGTACTAAATTTGTATGTAAGGTAATTGTAAAAACCTACTAATCATTAAATCTCTAACTTTTCCTTAGTTTTATAGTTAAATATACTTATCACGATGTGCTAAGAAAATATTATCTCATTTAAAATTTATTTCTTGAATACAGGAAAAAAGGTTAGTAGTATTTTAAAACAATAGCTGGAAACCTCATACATTCATTTTATCCTTTTTACTTCTTTCATTTGCAATACTTAATTTTTATTTTCACATATCAAAATGGTAAAAAATATACTGAAGCAAGGTTTTAAAAAATAAGCTTTTGTTTAAAATCATTAATGAACTAAAAGGAAGAAAATAATTATCAAGTTTAATTGATACGAGCGATTAAATAATTCTCTTGTCGAAATTCATCTGCAAATAGTATATATATTAATTTCTTAATTCTTTCTTTTCAATTTCTGTTTCGATTATATATAAAAAATATATATAAAATATATACAGAGATAGATAGATATAGATATAGATATAGATATAGATAATAATAATATTATTACGAATAATAAAACGTGGAATGCTCACGATAAAATTTATTATAAAGGTCATGGCTTTTACTGTGGACAATGCAATTCGATTTTTAGATTTTATTAATTAGGTGCCCATTCTTTTATTATTATCCATGATATGAAACTGTAGATGAAGTTTGAAATGATTATTATTTAATCTCTTGTTCCATTAAAATGTGATAAATTATTTTTATCCCTTAATTCATTGATAATTTTAAGAGTTCTCATTAAACAGTTGTTTTCTAACAACCTTTATTAAGTATTTTTTTTATTTTTCGCTTTTTATTCTCAATGACAAATTATTAATCAAATTATTCAGTTAAATTCAAATTTTAGAGACTCTAAATCAAATTTTCTACGAGAAAAGGGGAAGGGAATTTATAAACGGCAAAGGTAAACAAATAATAACAAGACCGCACATGCGTGATATTGCTAATTATTTGCATATCTTATGTTGTGCATATCATGAAAATTTCAGACCTGTTGGATGTTGTTTCTTCAGGCCTTTATCATACTGTAATTTCAATGATCAGTTTTATATGGTGTCCTCCGCTTTGAAAAAAAAATTGTTTTCCGTCTAACGAAGGCCAGCTGGAACTTACCAAAGGTTTGACACAAGCGCTCTGTTTCTCTAGATGGGGAAAACAGGATTCTTTCAAAACCCATAAAGAACTCAAAATTTTATTAAAATGAAGAAATAAGTATCGTACAGACTACGGGGATGTTTTGGCAGAGGATGTAAATGTTTATTCAATGTTTCGTCAATAGATGATAGTGTATCACATCGAAATCAGATTAAATGTATATAGAGTACCTGAATAGTTTTTTTTCCCGATAACGAATACTCTGAATGATTATTTTTTAATAGATAATGAGTTCCTGTCATATGAATAAAGCGTTTTCAGTACCATTCTTATTGTGATCATTGAAGTCGATATGACACAGCTCAATTTATCGGCGAAAATTGGAACTAAAATTTTAACCCCTCCAAAATAACCCTGCCCTTTCTTTCGCGATTTAGTATTTTCGAGAAAATCTGACTTCAGTATTCCTATTGGTTTAGTTCTTTAAATGTTTTGAAGTCTTTTTGGATCTTTGGCCATTCTATTTATACTTAGCTTTATTTTTTATTATTAATACAAGGTTTTCAAACTTACTTGCGCAATTAAATGGTTCGTAATAATTCCACGTTTCCTAGTTAAGGAATGGATCAAGTAATGGATGTCTTCAGTCTAGTTATTTTGGTCACGTTGCAGTTTTAAGAGAAAATATATGAGCCTTAATTTCAGCAGGTTTTGTAAGGAAATATTTGCAGTGAAAAAACTTTTCTTCTCAGCTAATTTAATAAAAACTAGTAATAATAATGCTAACATTATTATATGATCAAGATTGACCAATATATCATTAAAGTACGTCATGAGAGTATACAGACATTTTAATGGCAGCTACTCAAACTGAATTTTCAAAAGCATATTCGTAAATTGTTTCTGTACATCTGGAAGCAGTAATTCAGAAATACTGATTTCAAATTATCGTTTGCAGAAATCTAAAGATTTCGAAATTTTGTATTCAACGTAAGCCCTAAAATCTATACTTTTTCATTGGTAAAAGTGGCTTAAGTCATAAAATTCTGCTAATGTTTTTCAAGGCTGATTAAGCTATTATGCATCATCTCCGTTATGCATCATCATCATCCAATATAGTCTTTAACATGACAAAAAAACAACTTATTCATTGGCATTTTCTTTATATAAGATCCGTGTAAAAATTGAAACTTCCTACACTTCTTTTAAAATATGTCATGTAGCCAAAGTTGTCATAGTCTGAAAATCTACTATATCTGATTTTAAACTGAAACCATGTGTCTAGCACCAGTTGCTAAAAAAATATTTAGTCATACACCAGTTTTGAAATATCATACATAATTAAAATTTACGAAAAAAATTTCTACGTTCAGAAAAACCAGATTATGCGAATGTTACTTATATTTTTTCAAAACTTATATTGCATAATATTACATTTTTTAATTTGTTACTCATATTTTAGACTGCTACTTAAATTTTCACAGTACTATGATTTTTTTAGAAAGCTTTACTTTATCTCATGCTAACTGGTCTAATTACCTTTATAGATTCCCGCTAATGAGACTACACCACATCCACCGATCATCTATACCGAAGATTTAAAAGCCACAGTTTTGGGACTTCGATTCCGCGTGCAGCAGAATATGTTCAAAAGCGATGAATTAAGGCTGAAATGCACTGCTACTTTGTCTCGAGTAGTTAGTCTGAGTAGTGATGTGACAGTTGTTGGAGGAAATCAGCAGAATTCCGGTTTTCATGTTTCGGAAAATACTGTTTCTGGTAAGATAAATTGTAAGAATTATATATATAGATCGGGTATTAAAAAGATCCGCTGAATAAAAAGCTCAGTTATAATTACAAGTTTTGTGTAGTAAAAGACAGACGTAATTACTGTACAATGAAATCTTGAAATGAAACCATGAATCTCTGCTCTGCTCTCAAATTAATAACTACTTCTGAAAGTACAAACAATTTCTGTCGTCAGCTATTAAGCAGGTTCAATCCGTATCACACTTTTTCAACAATTCAATCAACCGACGTATGCCGTGAAAACAGCTTAGCTTTAATTTAGCTCTTTCTGATAAGCAGCGTTACCTCTTGCCTATTATAAGTAAATATTACGCTCTTTGTTGAATAAATTACAGAAATAATCCTCCATTGTCACATTTTTCATTGTTTTTCTCTGGTGAAGAATTTACATTTAAAAATGAGTAGATTAGGACTTCCTTAATTCGCTTTATTTTCATTTCCAATCACCTGTATTTACTTTTTCTATGCCCAACTCAAAAGCAGCGTTTTGCATGGACTGTCCCTTGTCCTGCCCTTTTAAGACTTAAGTAAAGTTTTAAGATTTTTAAGACTTTAAGTTTACTTTCAAAGGTATTTGTAATTTTCGTTGCAGCAAACTGTACAGCTCCTTACAACTCTAAATACTAACTCCTAGAACCGTAAAGACAAACAGATGACATATCGCCCGGTTTTCTTTTAAAGCACAGTAAATGCAAACTCAAATCAATGGTTAAAATATCCTTTTTATTTACTTTTCAGTATATCGGTTACACAGCGTATCCAATAACATAAAGTTGAAAGCCACTACTTGCGGTAAAACATGGATCAAATGTTCCAGTCGGATTTAAATATTAAATACAATTGCACGCCACTAAATAGGCTTTCGCCTCTGGCTTCAATACTTTCACAAAGCAATTAGGGTTAGTGAAGCTGAAGCTGATCAAGAAATTCAAATCAGTAGCATAAAGCTGTTGCAGAGAAACCGTCCAACTTCCAAAGACTATCTCTAGAACTCAAAACCTCGATGCTTCTATACAATAAACTAATTTGCAGTTTGCATCCCGGTAGAATTGACGAAAGCAGAAGTGAAAGTGAAGGCAATCTAATAATATAACTGGTTAATTAACATAAAATTTTACAAAAATAGCTGTCAGATGAATCAGTCAATGTGAAACAAATTTATTGATAGATTTTTCTGATGTTAAAATACCAATAATTCTCTGCACACTTTTGTCTGCTTGCTAAGTTCTTTAAACGATATAAAAGATGGAAGTTTCGTGGAGGAATTGAGATTTCATGAAATGTCGGGTAATCGAAGATCATGAATCGAAATTCTGTTTTACTGTAGATAATGTGTAACGCTGCATCCATCTCATGTCCGAACGTTCGTCCGATAAAAATCAGAGTAAAAAAACTAAGAAGACTAGATAACTTTTATCAAAACTCTGAAACTATTGAATACTTGTAATTTTTAGACATTTACGCCTTTATTGGAAGAAAATCAGAAAAAAATTCGAAATAATTATTTATGAAAATAATGACAAATTTTCAACATTATCATTAGAACAAAAGTAAAATTTTAACAATACTAGTTTATTCAGTATCTGAGACATACAAGATGCATTGAGCAGAATAGCAATCTTTATCGCAATAATCCTGAAAGTTATGTTTTTAATTGTTCTTTAAAATGAGTCTGTGAGTCTGCTTTGAAACCACAACCTTTAATTTGGACCTAATCAACGTAATTTTATGGTCACTATTTTGCTGATGTGATACTATTAGGTTTCTCATAACACTATCTCATTTTGTTTCACATAATGCTCCACATATGCATATAATCAACATAATTGTTATACTTTATTTAAATACAGGATTTATTCACGGCATTTCCTGCATAGAAATGCAATTTCTCACTCACACAAACGTAACCTATTGCTAATAATTTGTCTTTTTTACCTTTGTTTCAGTAACAAATCCAACTCCTCGCTGCTGTGTCGAAAGAACATTGTGGATTTCCATTTTATTAACAGTACTGGCAATGTGGTATCCAAACGATCTCTGTTCTGGTTTGCTGATGTCGTCCGTCTACTGACAATCAATGAGTCTAGTTGGAATGACTTTGTGGACAACATTTATGAGCAGGTAGCTGAAATTCTAAAGTCACTCTATGAACTACGATATTTAAGCAAACTTCCTTGAAAGGACTACTAATGGAATGAAATGATGAAACCCCTTATGGTTCGAGACTGAAAACTTGCATTGAGGTTTAATATGCCTCAAAATGCATTTAAAACAAGATAATTTCAATGATTCAACAAAACTCGCTCCAAGAGGTCTTACTCAGACATCACAGGCAGGAACTACGATTATATGAGAGACCATTTTGAATGCATCAACCACAGGCAGTTCATGACGGCAGCATTTACCTCCAATGTATTATAAATAATATTATCGAAGTATTTTATAATAGGGAAGAAAAGCTTAAAGTACTTTTTGATCAAGCATTATAACGAACAAAGAAGAATATGATAGACTATGATCGTGTATTTGTTTTGTTTGGCATATATATCTCGCACATTATTGTCTTTGAGTTGGAAATGCTTAATACTTTAAAATGTAACATATCATTAGAAAGACGTATTGACTTCATCTGAATTTGAGGACTCTGAAATATAAAAGTGTCTTTGAAGCATTAAAATATACAAATGCTGTATATGAATACCCTGTACCACTAGATATGTAATTAATTTTCTTAGTAGTAAGCTCACGGCTTGAATACAAAAAAGACAGAAATTCTTTTCACAAATGAAGAAGTTTACTATTTACATAAAAGAATTAATTCAGTTACTTTTCATGTATACTTCATGTATATAACTATTTGCATTTTTGAACCAGTACTCAGGTTGTAGAGGATTGTTATAACAAAACTTAGATTTATATCTCTCTTGTTTGCACGAATCGTGGTATGTGCACATTTGTAAATACGCACTGTTCACATTTGATGAGCCTATTAAATATAAATTGTTGAAAATGTTAGTCTTTGCTTTCATCATAGTAAAACACAAATTTTTTTCGTATCAATGAAACAATTGTATGACTATAGATTGCTACATTTTTGTTAGAAAAAAAAAAGCAAAAACTTCTTCAGAAAAAGTCCTGGCTTGACATTCCGCAATTTCCTGTTTTCATCAAACCTTTCTTCTTCTCTTTTCGAAAAGGGTAAAGATTGTAGTATTCACCAATCATTTTTTAGAGTCTTAAACTTGAAGTTTCCAGCATTGTAAAGAGTGGCCCAGAAGTCACTTTACATTTTGAAAATTAAATAACTTTTTTCTATTAATATATTTCTTTTTCTCTTTTCAGAATTAAAAAATATAATCACTGGAAATTTTTGGCATGGATAAGTTTACAACAGAACAACGAATGAAGATAATTGAATTTTACTTTGAAAATGGACGGTCAATTGTTGCAACGCAAAGATCGTTATATGCGCCATTTTAATGTTCGACATCCCCCTAGTAGGCCTGCAATAAGGAACTTAGTGACGCGTTTTCAAGGTTCAATTAGTGCAATCTTTAAAACCAGCAGACTTTCAGAAACGAGTAAATTATGCTGTCAGGTTTCAGAGAACTGCAAGAAATGACAATGAGCTTATTCACAAGTTGATCATGGGAGATGAAGCTCATTTCCATTTGAATGGACATGTGAATAAGCAAAAAATAAAAAAGAATTAATTACAGTCATTTAAGAAAAAGTTATTTAATTTTCAAAATGTAAAGTGACTTCTGGGCCACCCTTTACCTAAGTCTCAATAATCAAATGATTTTATATTTCCTAGATGGGACCGTACAATTGTTCTATCCAAATGTTGCTTCATTTCACTCATGCAGATTTCAGCGCATTCTGTATATGTTCTTTGTTTATTATTATTTTATTATTCTAAATATTTTGAGCACGATACTTGTTTGTTTCTGCATGTACACTTTGCTTGAGAGGTCTATATACCATTGAAACCAGCACGTATAACTTAACATAAAATAATACATTCACAATTCATTTTTGCTCCCTCATCTTGGACACATTATAAAGTTAAACACCCTCAAAGTTTTTGTGATATTCGTTTCAACACGTCAAATATGACTGACCGAAAGTCTAGTCAAACGTAAAATGCTGGGGAGCGGAATCGTGCTTAGACAGTTATGTCATACCACGAGATACCATATAAGACGTAACCTAATTATCTTTATTATTTTAAAACGTCATTATATCGAGATAATGTAACAATACAGAGATTTGTCGGACGTGGGGCAAAGTTCTGGCCAGAATTATCTCAGGTGTCTGCTTCTTTCGAAAGCGTTATACAAATAATTCATAAAATAAAATGCAATTACATTCGCTGAAAATGTTAAACAGTTGAGATTTGAATTGCATATGTAATGGAAATTCTTATAAAGAATGTATATGCAATGCTCATCGATTTGCTTAAAATGACTATTAATATTTCCGTTACAGTGAATTTTCACTTAATACTGTAACGAGAATAAACGTTAAAATATAGCTGAGGATACTGATTGATGCAAAAGTCTAAATATAAAATCAACCAACGGCATTTTTATTTACGGTGTACTAAATGCGTAGAATACTTTAGTTAGTTACGGCACAAATAAAAATGTAAAAATGCGAGAGAAACTTTTCATTTACACCAAAGTGAGAAAATAAGAATAAGGTTAGCATTTGCGAAAGCGTTAAAGAAAACAAATTTCGATTAAATACTTAAACAAAAGGGAAAATTTCTGGGCTTCCTAAAAGCATTCATTTAACTGAGTTAAGAAAATGGTATATATAATACAAAAGTATGAAAAGAAAATTATTCCAATTTTATGGGAATAATTTTTTTTGGAGAAAAGGGTCTGCGCAAAACGAATAAATCAATAAGAACTTCTTTATGACACTGATTGTTGTTTGACATCGCTCTAATCGGGAAGTTTCTGAAAGATCTCATGAGGAATCACATGTCAGTTTCTCTTTAAATGGCAGACTAATTCCTTCCCTGAGTGGAATAAGCACGTATTATGATCAAGAAATATCGAAATAATTAGCTGGTCAAAACAATATCTTGGCAGGATTAAGATAGTCATTCTAATATCGAGCCGTATATGTACGGACTAAGAGCTTCGTCGACGAACCATAAAGATTAAAAAAAGTCTATCACAGAGATATGATTGTCAAACGAAATGGAATCATATATAAACGTAATGGAGCTCGTTTTGTGTTCCAACTGAAACGGGAGACTAGTTCATTTCCTGGTTCATCTCCAGATGTGTGCTTGCCTGTTACTGGAGTTCCAAAAAATGAGATTTTTTAAAACAAATCATCTCTCCTGCAGTTCTGTCAAAAGTATATTTCCCGATCCCATAGTCATCTAGCAATAGCCAAATTGTTCGCTTCTGTACCTTTGACATGATGTAATGCTGTCAGACACATCCAAATGCTAATGGTGCTGCTGTATTGTCGTTCTCGCTGTCCATTTGACACTAGTTTCTGCCGTACATCCAGTGGTGGCAGTTACATCACTTCCAACCTTGAACTTTCAATTTTCTTGAAAAATGTATATGTATGTACTGGTGTTTTCCCCCTCCCTAGCGTTTAGCAGAAAGTTCTACGAATGTTTTTAATATTCGCGCAATTTTCCCTGTCTTCAAGGTGTTCAAACGGAGAGCTTCTAAATTTCAAAATTAATTCGTTCAAATATTGGTTGCTTTCATGTACCTAAAATAGATGAAACCCCGCAAACTAACTGCAAAGGCCACGCAGAGCCTTACACTTTCCACTCATTAAAAATGGCAACGTGTTAAAAGTAACAATGCTTTACTTGAGATAAAAAATTTGTACTTAGAGAAAGCACAGTTTAATGCGAATTATCAGAAACATGATAATCATAGCTACACTGTAGAATTTAAATTATCAGTTTTAAAATTCGTTGAAATAAATGGTTTCAACCCTCCAAGTACATAATTTGGTGCTGAACCTAGTTTGATTCGATACTGGAGAAAACAAGAAGATGCAATTATTAAAATAAATTCCAAACGGCGAAATTTTGAGACCAAAAATCATATACTTTTCAGAAATTTGTGCTCGGCAGCAGAAACAGCCCATAAAGGGCCATGGCAGGCAGTGCTCTGACATCTGCTTTCTAAACCGTAGGCTCAGGTGTGCTTGTGAAGTACTGAATTAAGGGATCGAATAAAAATAAGTGATGGCATAGCTGTCTTACATGAATTGATGAAAATGAAAGCGAGGGATGAAACGTAGGAACGTGGTATTAAAGGCCAACAACTTAAAGAGAGCACAGGATGGACTCCGCGTTTGATAAGATGTAATAGACTTATTTTAAGAAGAAGAACAATGCTTTCTCAACGGTTACTAGGTGATTAAATGGTAAAAAGGTATTAGCATTTCACAGGCTCGTAGTCCAGCAAAGAAAATATTATCACAGCCATATTGGCAATATGAAAACATAGATCACACTCCTGTATTTTTGTACATGCCTGGTAATCAAAATAAATCATCTTCTTGTTCACTAAGTCGAAAAGTTGTTGTCACTAAGTAGAGTTGAAAATCTGCCTCGCACAATGAGGTTAGCCGTGACTGCTGAAGATAAAATCTTCCACTTTTCGCAGTTTTAAAAAGGAAGACGTTGCCAAGACAAAACCTTCCTAATAGTACACGAAAAAGGCTAGATGCCATCCGACTAGTTCGAAAATGTATGGACCCATTATCCAGACGTTCTTCTGTGCAAGAATTCTCTATTTGTATTGGACAACTTCCACGGGCATCTCAGTGTAGATATAAAAATAATGAGGAGAACAAATACTGTTCCTTACCAGGCAATTGTTTAGCACTTCATCAAGTACTGGACGAATCTTATATTAGAAAAAAGGAAGAGAAAAAAATGTGTACGGCATGGATGAATTCAACTGATCTTACAAGATAAAACCTCTTCCCTCCTTTCCTCTCGCAACGAGAAATAGCGACCAAATTTTTCCCTGTCTGCATGCGGTGCGCTTATCGCATCAGATGGAAGTGCTTAGTTAAATGTTAAATTTGGCTCTAACCCTAACTTAAATACACGCGAGATAAAATTGCATTCTGGCACGGAAAGGAGAAGGTGATAGTAAATATTCGTAACATAAAATAAGTGGTTAATCAACAAAAATACCTTATAAAACCATTTAGAACAAATTTCGCGGATCAAAGACCTAAATTCATCTTCTCTTCCTTCTTCTAAAGACACTTGCCCAAAATCGCCTTTTACTATATTTTCTGAAAGTTGCTCCAGTGTTTTGTTGTTGTCATCATTTTTATGGTTCTCTAGTAACTCTACCACGTATTCCTTGGTAACTTCAGTGTCCATGGTTTTGCCTAGAGATGCAATGTCATAGGTAAGAAAAAATTTATCAGTGTTATAAAGTCCTTAAAATCTCTCTATATAACACGATTTGGTCAAAAGTTCCTCCGGATTGGTTGCATGGCCCTATAGTCAGTTGCTGCCAGTCTTTGTTAAAAGAATTAAGCGACAGAAAATATTAAATCAATGTTCCTAGAAGTTCTTGAATATTCATTCTGTGTCTGAAGTTAACTCAAAACATCTTTGAAAATAATTTGTTACCAACTTGAGAAATCGTTACTCGAGATACGGTTCGTCAAGCGAGAAAATGTTTTGTTCAGATAATTCATTCCTGAACTGATTTGTTCGTGATGAGAGACGTTCGACATCCGAAGTTCCTTTATAATGTTTGTTTGAGAATTATATTTGTGTAAGATGCAAATCTCAAACACAGCAATTCTCCCTTATGGTGCATAAAATAAACTTAATAAATTTCATCTATATACCTGTAGTGATGATTTCAAGAAATGAAAATTCAAAAATCCTTGAAATAAATCTACTCGTAATTTATGATTTTTTTGCACTTAACTCTAAAGCGCTTCAGAAGTAAAAGTAACCTCTTTAAATAAAAGTAAA